CTTTCTTTCTTTCTTTCTTTCTTTCTTTCTTTCTTTCTTTCTTTCTTCCTTCCTTCCTTCCTTCCTTCCTTCCTTCCTTTTTTTTTTTTTTTTTTAAGAGAGGACAGAGAAAGGGAGACAGCACAAGCAGGGCAGGGAGGGGCAGAGGGAGGGAGAAAAGGAGAGGCAGACTCCCCACTGAGCAGGGAGCCCAACTCAAGGCTTGATCCCAAGACCCCAAGATCATGACCTGAGCTAAAGACAAACGCTTAACCGACTGAGCCCCCCAGATGCCCCATTTCCATGTATTTCTTTTCTTCTTCTTTAACCTCCCGGTTGACCCATTCATTCTTCAGCAGGATGCTCTTGACCCTCCATGGATTTGTGGTCTTTCCAACTTTCCTCTTGTGGTTGACTTCAAGTTTCATAGCATTGTGGTCAGAAAATATGCATGGTATGATCTCGATCTTTCTGTACTGGTTGAGGCCTGATCTGTGACCCAGGATGTGATCTGTTCTGGAGAAAGTCCCACGTGCGCTAGAGAAGAATGTGTACTCTGCCGCGTTGGGATGGAATGTTCTGAATAGATCTGTGATGTCCGTCTGCTCCCGTGTGTCATTCAAAGCCGCTGTTTCCTTGTTGATCTTCTGCTTAGATGATTTGCCCATTGCTGTGAGGGGGTGTGAAAGCCCCTACCCTTACTGTGTGACTCTCTGTTAGTTCCTGTATGTTTGTTACTGATTTATGTAATTGGCTGCTCCCATGTTGGGGGCATAAATATTTATAGTTATCAGATCGCCTTTATTCTGATACTGTGTCCTTCCTGATCTCTTACTAGTCTTTGGTTTAAAATATAGTTGGTCTGGGGATGCTGGGTGCCTCAGTGGGTTAAGCAGCTACCTTCAGCTGAGGTCGTGATCCTGGAGTCCTGGGATCGAGCCCCACCTCTGGCTCCCTGCTCGGCGGGACGTCTGTTTCTCCCTCGCCCCTCCGCCTTCTCATGCTCTCTCTCTCTCTCATTCTCTCTCTTTCAAATATAAATAAAATCTTAAAAAAAACAACAACAACTAGTTCGTCTGATACAAGTATTGCTACTCTAGCCTTCTTTCAGTGACCACGACCGTGGCGAATGGCTCTCTGCCCCCGCACTTTCAGTCTGGAGGTGACGAGTCTAAAATGAGTCTCTTGTAAGCAGCATATCGACGGGTCTTGTTTTGGTTTGGTTTTCCCTTATCCATTCTGATTTCCTGTCTTTCAGCTGGAACATTTAGTCCATTTACATTCAGAGCAATTATTGATATGAATTTAATGCCACTGAATTACCCAGAAAGTCGCTGTTTCTGTAGATCATCTCTGTCCCTTTCTAGTCTTTTGAAAGTTTCTTTCTGCTCAAAGGGTCCCGGGTAATATTTCTTGCAGGGCTGGTTTGACGCACACAAACTCCTTTAATTTTTGCTTGTCTGGGAAGCTCTCAGTCTCTCCTATTCCGAATG